TTTGGCCGCTGTCCCGGGGCGCCAACACCTGCGCCAGGTGCACCTTGAGGAAGACGCTGTGGGTTCATACCTGCGAAGCCAGGGCTGCCTACAATGCCATTGGGGATACCTTGATTGCCGAAATTTGGCGCAGGCGCACCGTTCGGGAGGGTACCGTTCGTCATACCGTTGGGCATAAAGCCAGAGTTGGGGGGAGGTCCTGGGCCTACCGATGGAGCTCCTGGGCCACCCTGGCGAGGCATACCGTTTATCGGTCGCATTGGCGGACCTGCAGCTGAGCCAGGTGGCCCAGGCTGTGGGGGACCGTTGGCGGGAAGAGGTTGGCCTACGCCGTGCAGAGTTAGACCACCCTGCGCCTGCGCCTGCGCTTGTAGTCGTTGCGTTCGGACTTGGGCCTGTTGGGTTTGATGCTATCATTTCGAGATTACAGGTAGAAGCGTGAGTCAACGGATCAGCAGGAGAGATGTTCAGAAACGCACATGCGTGTAAAGCAAAGCGTCCTCTGGCCCATGCCCGTTACTCTTCGTAGTAAACAGCACCCAGAATACACTCCACCATCTAAACCCGCAGTGAGCCACACATCATTCACACAGTTGACAAATCGCGGGGAAAGGCACAACGGTTAGAAATGTGTGCGCCAATCCAAGCTGAGCACTCACTCAAAAAGTAGACCCTGCTTTGCGTTGATCGGAGGTGTTGCATCTGGGGGAAGGTCTGCCTCTGTGAGCAGCTCCTGAGCTGTTTTGAGAAACCCTCGTTTGTGGCAGTAGTCGTAGATGTATATGTTAAACCTGAGATGTTCCATGAGAGCAAATGCGATTACTAGGGCGTCAGACGATCATTTGGGCAATAAGTGAACGCAAGACGTACATGCGGTCGCCCTCCCATGATAGCTGCGCGCCAGGATTTGGGTCTGAGGGGCCGAGCTTGAGCTGTTGCTGGGGCTGCTGCTGCTGCTGCAGAGGCTGAGGCGTAGGGCCAGACTGTTGCTGCTGGGTGACGGTGGCCATAAATTGAGTGGATGCAGGGAGGATGAGGGAAAGAAGCGGAGTGGTGAGGATGCGAGGTGAGGCCTCCGCAAGACCTTTGGAAATTAGAGTACAACAGCAGAGTGAAAGGAGAAAGAAAAGGATGGAAAAAGCAAGATATTATCCCTTTGGTGAATTATAAGGGAGTATCGAAAGCCTGCCCAAATGACAGTTAGCCGACTGGCGAATATCGACCCCCTTCAGCAAATTAGGCGCCCTCTCTACACACCTCGGTTATGTAAGCCGCTTTTTTCACACTCCGAGACTCCGAGCAACGGCTACTGCGACGCTACTACCGCCACCATGACAGCAATCAACCATCCACAGCACCATGTCACCGCCTACGCCCCGTGCTGCCATCCTGGAAGTAAACGGCTCGATGTAGTCCCATCCTTCTCAGCCTCTTGGGACCAAGAACCTTCGATCTGGCTGCTAATGGAGTCACTAATGTAAGTGCACCGATTCCTGGTGGGTGCTATTTTATCGGCCGTTCCTTGGGACGTTGGAGTTGAAAATAGGCGCCAATAAGAGTCTCCCGTATGACTCTGCTCATCTTCATTAGACTTGGGCAGCTGTCCCGAGTGCTTCTGTATATCGACTGCATGTCGTGTATGCTCGTGTACACGAAACTCGTGAGACTGCCAGTGAGATGTTCACAAGATGTCTGGGACCCTGTCGTTGCTACCACTTTCCTTCTCGACTACACGCCTTACGTCTTGCGTGATGTACTGATGCGAACATGTCGACAGTGGTTATATTTGTTTCAGGTGGTTCCAAATGGTAGAGAGGTGGCTGATGACATATCAACGGCTGCTGTTCGCAACATATACCCTAAAACGGTGCATGCTGTGTGAGCCCATATTCTACAAGTTTGCAGTCTTGACGCTCAGACGCCTCGGTTTTTGTGTCCTCAAAATCTCAAAGTACAACAAAACGTGACAATGTCATATACTCTAGTTTACTTCCTGGATGGGTCCACAGAGACGTCAGAAGCAGGGCATGCGGCGCGGGACATTTTGCTAATCGGCTGGGCGGTGTCTACGTGTTCCGTCCATCAAGATGCTATGGGTGTGTGTCAGATGGGAATGGGGAATGGGTGATTGCTGTCATAGTAGTGGCCACCGATGCCCGGAACGAACACGAGTGCATTGATGGGTTTGGATCATCTGTATGACTTACTCATGATGAATGTCGCTTTGATTGCTCGTTTAGTTGTCTTGACCCCCTCAGTGCGACCAGCGCACTCCCGCTCTGAGTGACTGAACGCAGGAACATCGTCGATACTCTCCGATCCCACCCCGCAACGTTTGGAATGTGAGGCGTCTCCATTGGCCGAACAACCCTGAGTGGAAGACTCTCCGTGGGATATGCGCGGCTGGAGTGGATTCCGTAGCTAGGCATTGCTTGCACTCAGCCATTGAAAATTGAAAGTTGAAATCGAAACCCCAAATCCTCACTTGCGAGAATTGCAGGGTCTACTCGGCTAACATACAGTCGCATTTGTACCGCCACTGTCCATACTAATATCCACCATCGTTGTGAGGAACAGACGGCGCGACCACCGATCCTACATTGCTAGGGGGGAGTAGCTTCACCCCGAAAACCTTGCGCCGCGATGTTTGTCCCGTCGTTGGCACCCTCATGCACCCTGGCTTAGTCGGCCGCGTCGAAGATCCTGTAGACCAACTCCCTCTGTGGGGGGACGCGTTGGGAAAGTGCTCAGAGCCACACTGCGTTGCCTGAATGGAACGAAGAACCACTGGTTTGACCTCCTTTGGTGGCATCAGCGATATCTGGCAAGTGGCTTGAAGCACTATACCCATACTAGCCAACTCGATATTTAGAGGTCTCCGTCAACAACACGGCCTATTGGAGAGTGTTGGCTGGAAATCCTGCCAGGCTAGCCTTTACTGTTGATGATCATCTTGCCCCAGGGATGCCCATGGATGGTAGGCGTATGAATCCCCTGGCCATTCAGGCCAAGTTTGCCCAGATATCGCCTATGATGCTGAAGCAATACAAGTCTGAGCTAGGGATACCAGACAACAACCAGCCGCTGTCTGATCAGGACAAGGTGCGATTCCTTGGCCCTTTCTCGTATATTGAGCTTGACGACTCGATGGTAGATGGAGCTTGGGAGCATCCATCGATTGAAAAGACCGGGCCAACCAGGCATGAACGCCACCGTCGATTCTTCGTTGATAATTAGGCAACCTATGACAGACACCCTAGACCAGCCTCACCAACCAGGAGGAGGAGGGCCTAATCACCATCCGGATGAGCGGATGGGTACACCATCTAAAAACCCTCCAATGAACATCATGCATCCGAACTCGATGGGTAGTCTCATGGGGGGATTGCAATACCGAACCAATAACGTCGGCTCCGTCAAGGCCGGCTCTCCCCCACCCCGATCAAAGCTCGACAATGACCTGATTGCACCCCCGCCATCTTCCATGCTATCCATCGATGGTGGCGGACCAGAGATTATCTTCAGCTCGGACTTCATCACCAGCGTGGCAAACGCTCTGGGCGACTTCGATGCATCGAGTATATTCCGACCAGATGGTGATATCAATTTTGATAGGGACTCTGAACAGCGGTTCTACAACGGTCCTGTTGCGCTTTCTGACCGTGACTGCTTTCCATAGATTGTTTCCAGCCTTTTCCCCAATTACCTGCTTTACCCTAGGCCATTTACCATCCTTACTTACCCACTTTCTGTCAATCTGTCCGATACAGCCGACATATACTGTCTGGTCAACTTGTAGTTGAGATAGAAAGCGAAATGTACTTCTCCCGAATAACAAATTTAAGGGTCCGCGAAAGTGTGGCTGTGCTTCCTCTCCTCTCCTACTGAATGGACGCCTCCATCTCCAGTTCCTCTCGGGTCGACCAGAATGCATCCCGTATCCTCGACAGCCAGTACGACCGGCCGCAAGAAGACGTGCGCATGTCAAAGCCCCATAAACCACACCAACATGTATGGTCCCATGCTTGCCATTCAATGACAAGGAGTCACATTGCTCGGTTCTGAACAGCACGCATCCCATCGGGGGACGACGACTAGGTACAAGGAGAAGTGGGCAGCTATACTCGCTTGATCTACGCGATGTAGGGTGCTAATGGGCGGTCTACGCAGGTTCCAGGCAATGAGAGAGAGGTACGAGCATGTCAATGCGGTGCGTCGTCATTCACTGCGGTCCTTGCATCGCTTCGGGCTCACCATAGGATCAGAGACGTGAAGCATTCAGCCGTGAACTGGAGATTGCGAGCGAGAAAGAGAGGCAGCTGCAGGCTGAGAACGAGTACGCCGCCAGACACTCAGGATCCCCGGGCAAGCCGCTGACCGCACACCCACTGGCAGCTTACTGCTCGATACACTTGCAGTCGCAATGGCACCCCCGCAGATGGAATACAGGACGAGCCATCCTTCTGCCCCCGGAGACATCCCACTCCTCCCGCGAGACGTTCATTCGCCTGCGCCCGAGGCCCCAGCGTTACCTACGAATGGACTGCGAGACTCCCGCCATGTCCCCCGATCCAACGGCGCGCTGAACGGATCGGCGACAAACGGCTCGTCTGGTGGACTACACGAAGTACGAGAAGTATGTGCCACTGATTGTGTCCGCGTCGTGTATCCGCTCACCGCGACCCTTGCGATCGCAGCCAGCGGAGCCTGACTCGCACGAGGAGAAGCAGGAACGGCATTGATTTATCCTCATTACTGTATCACAGTGTGACTGCTCAAGCTTAATGCTTCAGTCTTGTAAGACCAGCTGCCTGTCTAATATACCACTCAAAGTGAGTACGGAGGGACGCGAGTATCGAGCTATTTGAACAACTCATTTCTAGTAAATACTCAGGCTTTCGGACTCTTGTGCAGTAGTTTAGCAGTCACTATACAACGCGTACCGAACACAAAACGCGGTGGTCCTGGTGTGACGGTTCCAATGGGGTAACGAAGTGCAAGCATCAATGGGGTAGTGGTAACCTGGGTCGTTGCCATTTCCTCGCAATACGTCGAGTCGACCCGCCGCGAGTTCGATTCTCGCTTGATGCATTTTATTCTGCGGACGATCCGTAACGCTAGCTCGAAGTAATGTCAAGCCTCTGACCTTTTTGATGGGGTTTGGCCTCGCAATTATTTGACAATCTCTGCGCTTCCTCAATGTATACCACAACTAATCTCAATGGCCACCGAGGTATTTTGCAACGATGCGGCGGCGACCAGCGGCATCCTCCGCCCAAAATCTAGGCCACATTGTCCTCTAACTCTATTGCCTTGCGTGCTGCTTTATGAGCATGCACATCTACCAATCCCAGCTGGGTAGCGAACGGGAGCGTCGTCGGCTATCGAGTCATTTGTCATTCTCACCAGTGCGAGTGCAGATGCCACTTAAAAAATCTTGCAGGCTGAGGACGAGTTAGTGATTCAGAACAATTCAATATAATGCTACTCACAACTTCCAGAATTAGTGTGCATGGATTTGGCCGAGATCTGCTTGCATTCAACGCCAAATACTGTGCAGATGGCATTGAGAGGGTTAACTTGCTGGTTTGCCATGGTTGAACGAAAGAAGAGATGAGACTGCGAAATCGCATTGTAGGGGCAGAAAGATTAGATTAGATCTGAGCAGAAGTTGAATCAACAGACGCCCGTACACTCAGTTGTCGACAGTCGCGCTGGTGTCGACGCGAAATGAGTTCCAAAGGTGCCCCTTCTAATTGGGATCCCATTCTTCTCATATCGCAGGTCAGTATATACTTCTATATACTGGATATCTTGCGCTAAGCTAGGCCTGACAGATAGTCTCAATGCAATGTCTGCATTATCTTACCCTTGCAGTCCTGACGCCACCTTTACTTGCCGTCTTTGCTGAGCCTGTCTCGCTTTCGTGGGTAGGCGGCGCCGCGAACATTGGTATGCTCATGGATTGGCGAGAGATGGCTGGACGGCCAACTGCCATGGCGAGGGGAAGCAGCGTCCAGGGCGACGACCGTTGGCGATCGTACACCCAATGGGCTTGGAGTGGTGGTGAGCGCGTTGCCCACGGGTGGTCCATGGATCGTTGGGATGGAAGTATTGACCCCATCAGAGGATGGGTGATTGCTGCCTGCTGGATAGCTGCATGTGGCGCCGAGTACGTCCTTCCCTCATTATCTTTTGCACTTCTTACCCCCCACACCTAGTATTTATTACCTGTATACCCTAATCCGTCGGCCACGCCTGATCCTCGATTTCTCCCTGACGTTGGTGTTCAATCACCTCGTGCTCACGACGTATTACTCCGCCGCTCTTCCGACCTCGTTGTTCTTCTGGGCTATCCTACTAGTCGGAGCACTGATTTCAGTCGTTTCGGCCGAGCAACTGTGTGTAAAGCGAGAGATGTCGGAGGGTCTCAATGTCAGCGCCGTCCAGGAGGAGGCCGAGGAACTGATAGCAGATGAATTAGAGCTAGGTTCCATGAGAAGGCGGGATTAGTGTATTCCTTTAGGATTGTTGATATATTCTTGACCGTACTCTACCTCATTAATTTATTGCAGTCCACCTCAATGGCAGCGATCAACAAACAGCGGTGCTAGAACTATGATAGGGCCTCAAGATCGCAACAAGCCATTGAACGAGATAGCATTGACAGCATTGCGGATATTATATATAGATGTACTAAGCATACGATATTAATGTCTCCTCACCATAGCAATCTGGAAATCCCAGCCCCCAAATATGTACTTGAGCTCGAACAGCCTCCTTAGCTCGCGCCACGCCTCCTTGGGGTGGGCACCGTGCCCGATCTCAGGCCCAACAACTGGCACAGCACTGAAGTCCGGAGAAGTGTCGGGGACGAGGACGAAGTCGGCTGGAGACAACAGAGAACGAAGCAAGGAACCAATTAGAAATGCAATTAAAGCAACTATGATCACCGTAGAGAGAGGGTAGGTCCGCTGCGTGCGGGTGGAACGGGCGGCGGTATTGGCCAAGGGGAGGCTGCCAGGGATTCTGTGCTCCTCAGAAAGAGCGTCTTCTGACTTGGGAGTTGGCTGCACGGAGGACGTAGGAGTTGTCTTGGAGTAGGCGAACCGCGACCAGGGGTTTTGATACGAGTTCAGGAATCCCATGAGACCTGAGGGCGTGCGTCCCAGAGGCTTCGCTCCTGACTGGAGTTGCTGTGGTTCATCCTCCTCCTTCTGGCCTACCGTAAGACAATAAAATGGTAGATCTGGAGCAAAACAGCGTACCTCAGTTACATTCCCGCTTCCATCACCTTCCGGTTTGTTGGTCTCTTCCGCGGAGGGTATCAAGGGAGTGGAGCCGTCGGCACCCGTGGAAGAAGTTGCGTGCGATACAACATCATCCAAAAACCGCGAGGCCACGGCTATTGGCGACTGGAATTCGGGCGGGAGTGTTAGCGATTCAGCATCAGCAGGGACTCTATTGCATATCTCGTCAGTAAGGCAACACGACCCAATGACCCAGTATCCTACCTAACCAAGAGACATGTCTTCCCGGCTCTGTCATCCAGAAGGTCGTCCCGTCCAATGCTCCGAAGGGATGTCATCTCATCCAAGACAGGAACACCGACGCCGTCGACCTCGACCTTGTTCTTCTCGTGACGAACAGGAGTCTTTTGACCCGGAGCCGGAACAGGACTCGTTGACGCGGCATCGTTCAGCGGCAAGGGCTTTATGCCAAAGGACACAACCGCTATGTCACCCTGTCTCAGCCTGGCGAGCCACTCGGGAACCTCCTTCGCCTCGCGGACCTCCCCAGTCAGTGGGTCGACAACGGTGCTCACTTGCATCTCGTATTTCGCCGTTGGGAGCGAGAACCGAACCAGATGTCGAGGTTGAGAAGAAGACGGGTCATCAGTGAGCGTGGACGGATGGAGTGGTGATGGAGGGAGGGTGTACACGGATACAGTAAGGGGAAGGTCAGAGGGTGGTGGTGGCGGTGATGAGGATGGTGAGGAAGAAGAGGAGAAATCATCGAGGCTGATGGTCTCGACCTTGGCACGTATCCGCGACTGGAAACTTACGGAATAGCCCTCAGGATATAGTTTCGAATCGACAATAATTTCTCCTGCTAAGATATCCGCAGGAGGGCGTACTTCGCCCTTAACTGTGAATGCTGACGTAGACGACCTGCCTCGGACGGTCAGACGGGAGGATGTTGTGCTGGGGGGAGGTGAACGTGGTTGAGGGGAGGGAGAGTTAGAGTGGAGAGAGGAGGCAGATATGCTTGGAGGAGTCGCCACCGAAAACGTCTTTGCATGGCGTATCGTAGAGGGAGTCGTCAACTCAGGCGGAGTCTTAGTTCTGACGCTTCCCATCCTCGTGCCCGAATCGGGAGAACCGTTGCCTCTAGAAGTAGAGTCCTCCTCGCGCACCTCGTCCTCAGGGAAAAGCTTCTGATACGTAGGTGAGTCAGCAGCCTCCAAAGTCATAGACGGAGGAGAGCGGAGGTGGCTGGAATCCGGCTTCACAGTTGGCGATCTGGGTGAATGATACGGCGCGAGGTTGATCGTAATTAGACTCTTGTACTCCCTCGAGGCCGCAATGTACGACGTATCCAGAAGCGTCCTGATTTCATCCCGCTTGCGTAGTTTCCATGAACTCGACGACACGCTGAGGCCCGCTATGAGGTCGTCTGGCTTGCGGTCGGTCACAATGAACCCGGGAGAAGGCAGCCGTGTTATAGGCCACACCGTCGAAGCTTTGACATAGGCCTCCAATGATAGGATATTCCGAGGTAACATCGCGTTGACCATCGAGTTCACAGCGACGGGAATCGCCCCAGCGAAGTCTACGGCCGTAATCCTCGTGCATCTCGTAGATGGTATGGCGTAGTTTTCCTTCGTATAAGGGTCGAGCGTTTCGAGCACCCACGCGTCGATGAACACACGGCCGATAGGTAATGTGTACGGGTTAAACTTTGCCACACTGAATCCAGCAACTGATTGCGGGCTGAACGACGCCGAGACGCAGAATATCGCGTTCTTAGTCCCGTTCGATGTCTCGTTCACATCCGTCGTCGACCGACGAGAGAGGGAAGGCAGCGTAGAACGGGACATGACCGACGCGAGGTAGAAGCCTCGGTCCCTAAAAGGAAACCCCGCCTTATACGTCGCAAACGCAGTGTTCGCTTGCGCCCCAAAGGATTCCAGCGTGTGCACCGAATCAAACCGATCGTCCCACTTCTTCCGACAATCAGAAGAGTTGATTATGGGGTACAACTCTTCCGCGCAGACGCCTTCGATGACTTTCTCTCCCTTGTGCACGGGGATCGTAGGCGATATCTCGGGCGCCATGCGTTTGCGGATCGTGATACCTTTGTCGCTGACGAGCGTCCAGTCGTCGTTGGATCTTGAATGGGAGTCCTGTATCCACGCGAGTGCATCTAACGCATACTGCATAGGCATCTTGGACGAGGACGGCACAGCGTTGTCAGCGTAAGCACTCGTAGGCGCGATAGCAGCGACATATTGATGCGTCGTAGCCGTCGCTTGCTCCACGGCGTAGCTGAGAAACCTCGCCAGCGGACTCGATATCTTTGGCGCGGATGCCCAGTCTGACGAGGTGGGGCTGCCGCCTTCAGGAGGCGTCGTCTCAGAGTTCGTGTCCCACTCCGCGCGCCGATTCCGTATTACGCCCATGACCGGAGGCTGATCGAGTGGTACGCGAGTCGGCTTGACACGCTTCTTCTTCCCCAAGGCCTTGATCTCGTCCTCCGTAAGTTCATCCACATCGACATTGATCTTCGCACCGTTGACCATCACCACGCCCTTCTCCTTCCCCGGTCCCTTGCGAACAATAACCAAAAGCCGTTCATCATCGACCAGCATCGCATCATGGGACAAAGTCAACCACAGCCCCCCACCCTCCACGGAAAGCCGGTGTCGACGTAGACATGAGATGGAATGCGGCGGAGGATCGACGACCACGTCCAGCGAAGAAGCCCACGTATCGACATCGCATCGAATTTCACATTCCGGTGAGGAGCTATTCGCCGCATCATCCCCCGCGCCAATTCGCTTCCTCGACGGCTCGTACTGGAGTCGGAAG